CGTGCTGGGTTGCGAAGCCTTCACCTCCGGGAGACACTACTGGGTGGTGGATGTGGCAGAGGGACAGTACTGCGCCGTCGGCGTCAGCAAAGAGTCTCTGCAGAGGAAGCAACCCATCAGCTTCAACCCCGAGGAAGGGATTTGGGCGGTGCAGCAGTGGGGATTTAAGAACCGCGCCCTCACCTCCCCTCCAACCCTCCTTAACCTGCCGCGGGTCCCCAGAAAGATCCGGATCTCTCTAGACTACGAATGGGGAGAGGTGGCGTTTTTTGACGTCGAGAACAAAATACCCATCTTCACTTTTCCTCCGGCTTCCTTCGCCGGGGAGCGGATCCGGCCGTGGTTCTGGGTGGAGCTGGGCTCGCTCTCTCTGGTCCGATGACCCTTGGCGTTCCTCCTTGCACGGAGAGCTCGGCGCTGGCAGTGAGCGGGTGGCTTGAGGGGCAGGAGGAGTGGTGGAAGCACCTTACTCCATCCGGACACCAACAGCTAGGTGGTTAAGAGCAGCAGGATAGAAACCAGGATAGAAATGCTCTCGGGAAGAGCAGCGTCAAACCTCATTCTCCCCCATTCCCAATCGAGTGCTCCAACCGTCATCGTGCCAAGGAAAGGCAGCCCCTCCCGCATGTCCTCAACGTAAGGTGGCAGAAGGTCTGCCCAGCTTCAGCTCTTGGCCCAGCGTCTCACAGTTGCGGTTCCAGCGTGCAGGAACATCAAACGACGTGCGGAGAGGCGTAGGCTCCTCCTTTGGTTGATGGAAAGAGGTGGGCACCAGGCTAAGTCACTGTTCACGCTGCCGGCATCACCCGAGCGGGAGTCCAGGCTCCCGCCAGCGTTTTCTTCTCATCGGTTGGTGGTTGGCGTGTAGACTTCAACCATTTGAGCCACTTTTCTAGTAGGCAGAGGGAAATAAGCACTTCTGGTGGGCAACTCATCTCATCCAGACATGGACATCAGAATAGGACAGGCAAATCGTGCTTTCCGTGTGCCCCTCTCTCTTCGTCAACTGCTGAAGGACTCTCTTCGTCAACTGCTGAAGGACTCTCTTCATCAACTGCTGAAGAAGTCTACACTTGGAAAAGATGAAAGAACAGCTCTCCTTCACCTGACCTGCTTACAAATTCAGGCCCTTTGCCAGAGAAAGGACGTGGCAAACCCTCTGTGACCATCCTCAGAGCAGCAAAGGCACCTGGTCGATGCTGTCAGCGTCGTGCACCAACGTCTCCGCAGGTTTCCTTCCCAAATGCTCCAGCCACCGTGCTGCTTGTCAAGGCATTGCTCCTGTAATCCTTTATACCAGAGCTGGATGCGGCCGTGTCCTCTGGCAGGACTAAATTTCACCCAAATCTGGCCTGGGCGGATGATGTTATTCCAGCTGGGTTAGCCAGAGTCCATGAGTTTAGCTCAGCCTTTGGGAGAAGCGATAAGCCTGGATTCAAGCCCAAGCTGGCATGATAAAAATGGTGAAAATTGGGGTGCCAGCCATCCAGACCGTACGGATTAAAGGTTTGAAGAGGCTCACACCAGCATGGAGCTCTGCATCGTGTTGCCCTAAAGCTTCCAGTGAGGTACTGGGAGCTCTAGATTCACAGAAGGGGTCAAGCCAGTGCTTGAGATCAGCGTGGGGCCAGCCGTGGAAGGTGGGTGACTGGGGACATCGCTGAAGCCGCTAGAGGGGATGGACACGGTGGTCTTCACCTTTCACTACATCTCACTGCACTTTAATAGCACCAGTGAATTCCTCTTTAATCCCTGCTTGTTCTTAACCACCTGTAAAGCCTTAAATCTTGCCTTTTGCCCCACCATGGGATGGCCAACTGGTAGTTCCCATCTGACAATAAAACCACTTGAGACTCTCCAGAGCATTTGATTTCTTTTTCCAGCTGGCTCGATGTGGAACCCTCCTGGCCCTTTCAGATGATGCCTGCAGCCCCTCTGATCTCTCCTTGCAGTGTCTTGCCCTGTTTGCCCCCCATTTTTAGGAGGGTGTTTGAGGTGGATCCCATCATGTGATCCCATCAGGGAGGGATGCTGTCATCTCCCACCCATGAGCAACAGCCAGAGCATCTCCGGGTCTCGGCCCTGTGGTTTTGGGTTTTTCTTCCTGCGGTTCATCAGGCCAGAAACTTTCATTATTGCCCTGGCAGCCCACATTTGTGGTGGACCTAGTAGGCAGGAGAAGACCCAAGCAGGAGGAAGAGGGAGGAGAGGGACAGATCATTCGTGTCTGAGGACTTCAGGTGATAGCACATTAGCTAAGAAAGCTGCTTGCTGTAGCAGCTCAAAATACCATTCCTTCTGTCAGCAGACAGAAATTGGGGGGGGAATATATAATGATATATAATAATTAAAGAAAAAAAATCCTCTTTTCTAAGTAACTATCGATGTGGGAAATGCCACAGAGGAGAAACTGCCCTTCCTCCACGCTGGAAATCACCACCAGCGACTCTGAAGCACGTGTTTCTAAAGCTGGTTTTGCTATAATTAAAAAAAATCGCAATCAGGAAGGTGTTCCTGTGCTGCTTGTAACCCATGAAAGAGGCTGGACACAAGACGAAAAAGCTGCCCGGCTCTTTATTTAAAGCAGTTGGATGACCACTGTGTTATTTTTTGCCCTGGTGATGGCCGAGGTGGGTGGTGACCCCCAGGAGCTGGCTGTGCTCGGATGGTCCCTGCGTTGCATGGTGGCAGATGCCCCATCTTGCCCGATAGCCGAAGATATTTTATCCTATAGCTGCAAATGACAAAGTATTTTCAATCCGAGCTTTATCCTGGATTGAAAAATCCAAGTTGGGGACGCTGATTCGCAAAGGGACATAAATGAGACTGTCCCTGGCAGGGAGACGCCGGGCAGCGCATTCCTCTCCGTGTTTCCTTAAATAGGGCTGATATTTTCCCTCTGTCCTCCATGTGATCTGACCCTGCGCTCGAACAGCCCTGGGGTGGCTGGAGAGGAGCCCTGTGGACTAAATCACCCCACACTTAAAAAAAAAAAAAAGTCCGTAAAAACCTTGTGCTGCCGCCTAACAGGTAAGTGTCACTTTTTGGGACGGTCGGGGACATTCCGATGAAGGGAACTGGCGGCGTCCCGGCCACCCTGGCACTGCCGAGATGTTTTTCCAAGTGTAAAGATGAAGGGTTGTTAAATTTGGGGTTGCTGCGGTCTGTCCGTGTGGTGCAAGCTGTCAAGAGGGGGTTGCGTTGCTGAGCCTGCTTCGGGCACGCTTTCAGGCTCGGCATCTGCCGCGTAGATGAATTAAAATTGGTTCCAAATAAAAGGAAAGCAGCAGAAGAGGACATGAAAACTGCTTTCCACCACGGTTTCCGAGCAGATGTGCGCCACTGGAGGGTTTCTGCGCTGGCGAGCACACCCTAAGGGTCCGGTCCTTGATGGGTGGGGAGCTGACGTGGGGGGACACCAGGTCGTGTACCAGCAAGGGAGCGGGTTAGAGCCTGAGCTTTGGGGACGAAATCCCAGTTCCCACCAGGTTGGGAAGGTTGGCTCCTTCTCCTTTGGCCATCCCGGGAGCGGAGATGCCAACTTGAGACGTCAACGCCCGTGGCGCAGACTCGCATGTAGGCGAGACAAACCTTGATGCCCATGAGGTGGAGGTTAAAGTCCAAGCCTTGCTAGAGGGCAACTCATTCCTTCCTAAAATGAACATCTAAAAGAGGTTAGAGCTCCTCTTCGCTCTTCCTCTGTCCGTGCGGAGACCTTTTACACGTTCGCTCCGCCGCAGGCAGCAAGGGGATGAGGAGCAGGAGGGGCTGGAGAAGCCGCTGCCATGGCCTCCGGTTCATCTAGAGCAAGAGGAGGAGGAGAAGAAAGCACCCACCACACCATCCTGCAGCATCGGCCGGATCCTGGGCGCCTGGGCTGCGACCCCCCAGGCTGCGGAGCCAGCACAGCCCGATCCTGGCCGGAGCGAGGAAGGCTTGGAGATGCCGAGGCAGTTGGCCACCGAAGCCGGCTCAGGAAAGGGAATTTCCAACCAAAACCGCATTTGGAGCATTTAGAGGAGAAGCTGAAGCTCTTGGGTCTGGAAGGAGGCGGGGAGGAGAAGGAGCGTCTCTGTTCCTGGCGCAAGAGGCCGTGCGCCTTCAAGGGTGGTGCGGAAGTACCTGGATCCCACCACGACGGACCGAGGGCTCACGGACGTCCCACTACAGCCTACGGAGAGGAATCTGCCCCAGAGGACAAGGTCAGGTCCATGACCAAGCTTGGGTTATTCCTTTTCTGAAATGTTTCTGGCCACCTTAGGGGATGCTGGAGTTCCTTTGAGCTTCTCGGGACCACAGGCTTCAAGCCAGCTGGAAGTTCTCTGTAACTGGTTTTTTCCACCAAGAAAATAAATAAATGGAAATAACTGGGGAGAGCTGGGGGAAAAAAATAAAAACCACATAAAAAAAAAAAACCAGACACCTCTCTTGCCTAAAAAGATAAAAGTATTCACGTTCAGACTAAGCCCTTTGCCTTAAATCAGTCAACAAGTATTTTCTAATTTCATAGAATCATTATAGAATAAATTACAGAATAATTTATTTCATGTAAGAATGAAACTGGCTCCTCTGTTGTCCTCCCATCTCTTCTCCATCCTCGTGCCCGTGCTGCGATTTTTTTTTTTTTTTTTTTTTTTTTTTCCCCAAAACG